CTCTGTCTGTCTGTCTCTGTCTGTCTGTCTCTCTCTCTCTCTCATTTAAAAGAGGTACTAAATGATGAGTTGAATGCAACGAAACTTCATTTTCATGTATGCTGATTAGTGTACATTTAAAGTGACTATTCTATTCTATTCTTATTCTACTCTTATTTCTATTCCACTCTATTCTATTTTATTTCTATTTCTATTTTCTCCCCTATTCCTATCTCATTTGTAGTCTGTTCATGATCTGGACCTCGCCTGCGCTTTGCATGGAAAAGAACCTCACTGGCTTTGTTTATTAAAGAGGAAATACTTGCATGGCAAATTGATTTGAAGGCACGTTATGATGTGTCACTACAAAGTGGGATGGTAATAAAGTTAGGGATTGATCCATAAGCAACTGTAGTAGGGTTTTGTCCAGCTTCAACTTTGAAGAAAATTCTACTACAAACTTATGTGGAACTTTAGCTTGGATGCATGTAAAGACGTTTATCATAACCATGACAACATGCTGGCTGGGGAATTCTGGGAGTTGAAATCTGCACATCTCGTGCAAGTTGTCAAGGTTGAGAAACAATGATTTAAAGGTATCAAAGATTAACAGAACTTTTGACCTTAAAAACGTGGTTCCCATCCTTAGACACGTCTGGAAAGTTTTAAGAAAGGTGCAGTAATCATTTCCCAGAACAAATGTGTGGAAATGTATTTGGGCATGTTTTAACTCTCTGGCTGTGAGCTTCATGGTTGTTAAGAGCCAGCGTTGCACCTTCTAGCCAGACTGATACTTAAGAGATTTCTACAGAATTTGGCCAGGTGAAATTGTCCTTTTATTAGCGTAATTTCATTGGAACAGACTCTAGTTTGTCTCCTGCCTTGCCAACCCGAATCCTGGTTGGGTTGAGTTGTTTTTCTCTGGGCTTGGTAGCTGACGGCTCCTTTTCCTCTTGCCAGGTGGCCCCAGCAGAAGGCTTTTCGGACCTTGCCATGCAAGTGGTGACGTCTCCCTCCAAGAACTACATCCTGTCGGTGATCAGTGCAGGCATCTGTGTCCTGTTCCTGATTGGTCTGATGTGCGGGCGTATCACCAAGCGAGTGACACGAGAACTGAAGGACAGGTAGAGACGACCTTGATCACCGGAGGGAAGGAGGAGGAGGAGGAAGGCCTGCCCAATTTGTACAGTCTTCTCTGTATAGTCTCCCTCCCCACCTCGCTCTCCTTCAGACAATACAAGCCAATTAGAACAGCAGCAGCAGCAGCAGCAGCTCGGGTCGACTGGTCTCCCATCCTGTCCAGCAGCTTTGTTACCCCATCGTTAGCCACGGTTGTTTGCCTGCCTGTAGACAAAGCTCTTTCTTTCCCCCCTCCCCCCACTTTTATTTTCTGGTCCCCTCGTCCTGTTGAACTACCTTCTTCACATGCTCCAAATCAGACTGACAAACTGCAGCCCCGGAGGTTTTTAAAGTGAACCTTTTAAAGATCCATTCTTGGCATAATTTGGCGAGGGGAGGAGGGCAGTGTGTCTCGGTGAGGAAATATTTGCACCCTGAGTTTAGGCAGGACTTGAAAGGATGGGACATTTTACCCACCACTCACCACCACCGACCCCTGGTTTGGATACCTAGTTTGCCAATGAACCAGCATCTTCAGCTCATCCTCTGTCAGGAAAATGGTCTCAGAGGAATATCATCTCCGCCGGTTCTCCTCTTTCTGTCACAAGGGTCTGTTTGTGTGTATTTTTCCTTTCCTTAACCAGTTTGTTCCTTAGTTTCCGCCAACCGGCAAAAGCCACTTTTTTTCTCCGTTGTCTTTGGGATGAATAAAATATCGACCCCACACACGAAAAAGTCCGGTGCTTTTATAGGTTTTCCCCTCGAAAAAGCTACATCCTGCCCCAGCGGAAGCTGTTAGATGAGACAAGTGAGGGTGCAAAGCTGCGTAGCAAGTAGGCGTCTCGGAAAGTTACACTGAAGATTTGGGGCCCTGAAAGAGGAAGAGGGCCGTTCCTGGGGCGATGATTATAAGGTGACCCTCTCCCCCGATATGCAGATCTGGCATTAATCGGAAGGGGAGAGGGGTTCATGCTCTTTAGGAAAGGGGTCCCTTCTGGAGACTCTTCCTGAGCACGAAAGGGTTGATGGGGACGGTTTGTCTGTTATTTGAAAGGAAGCAGTAACTTTTCTGAAGCAGCTCTGTGAATAGCCCTCCTGGCCTGAACCTGGATGCTACTCTTGACCTGATTGGGGAGTAAAAGAAGCCGCACCTGCTCTTTGGTTGGCACATGGGACAGTCTTTTAACCTGCTAGCCTGCTGGGTCTGAATCCTGCATTTGGGTGTTCTGGCCAGTGCAAAGCTTAATTGCTCGCCCCTCTCCATTTCCCTGGCGTGTTCCAGCTCATCCCAGTATTGCACTTGCTAGGCAGATTCTACCTTTATAGATTACTATTATTATTATTATTATTATTGCATTTAACTTCCCGAAAGTGGAGGGTGTTTCTGTCAAGGGACCAGGGCGGTCAGAGTGTCTGGGCAAGCTGTCGCTCGTAACAGTACTGTGAATATTTTCTGCTGCTCTGAAGTTTTGGTGAATGGTGTCTCCACAAAGTGAACTTTTAGGAGACTTCATACTGGAAAATGAGCAATGTGGCATCTGGTTTTGCTTCCCTAGAGCTGGCGGTTTGGTGTGTTTTATGTTTTTAAGTGACTACTGATTCTTTTTTTTCTTCTTGCTATCATGAACAGTACTTGGGTCACGGTTCTTTTTGTGTTCCCCCTGGATCTTCTAGAACAGGGGGTGGGGAAGGGTGGCCCTTTTATGACTTGTGGACGTCAACTCCCAGAATTCCTAAGCCAGCCAGGCACCATGTTGGCTCAGGAATTCTGGGAGTTGAAGTCCACAAATCATAAAAGGGCCACCCTTCTCCACCCCTGTTCTAGAAAGTGGAACTGGTAAAAGGCACATGATAGGAGAATCCAGTGGATGCTGCAGGGCCTGGTGCTTTTTCTCCTCTGCAGGATCTAAAAACAACTCCAGTATTTTGTCAGACAATGGTTTACCTAACCATGATAGGGCGTTGAAGCTCTGTGGAGAGGCTGGCTGTGGATAATGGACTACAGCAGGCCTGAAGAGGCTAAAGCAAGGAAGAGTCCCAGACAAGACTCATTCAGAATTGTAGCACTGGGCAAGATGCCAGCAAGACATCTTGTTGATAAAGTGCCCCCCCCCCCAGTTCATTTTAGCTGGAAAATTACACCACACACATTTTTTAAAAAAAATTGCATCCCCTCAGCTAGCTGTAGTTGCTTTTTCCTGCATTCCCAGCTTGTCTTGAGGAGAAGGAACGATGCTTCTGCGGAAAGAGAAGACAGGGCACCGGACAAGCAGTGGCACCGAGATAGCTTGCCCTCTGGAAGGAGGGTGGACAGCCTCCAATGTTGCTGCAGTCCCCATGCTCCTTTCCCAGGACTTTCTCTCCGGCTGCCTCTTCCATTTTATTTTTCAACCTCAGGAACCGGTCACTTAAGAGAGGAGAGGAGAGATCAGGTGTCATTTCCACTTAGGCTGTGCCACACCAGATTAATTCTGCTTAATTAGATCAATTAATTCAAGGAAGGCAGAGAAAGCAGTGCTGAGTTTTGCCAGTTTCAATGGTTGAAAATCCTCCTTAACTGGGACCCGGAAGGCTCCTTCCACTTGCTACTTCTATATAGTTGTGCTTTGTGCTTTTGCAACCGTTTGCAGAAGGGGACAGGTTGGTCGCGGAGGGCTCCTCTGCCTAAATTTGGTGAGGACGCCGCCTTTTCCAGGATCCAATCTGGATCGGTTCACAGGGATTAGAAGTTTTGTCTTCCGAGCTTTTGGACTTGTCCTGGAGCCCATTCTTCAGGGAACTTCTCTGTGCAAAGAAGTTCCCCCGAGGATGGGCTTCTGGCACAACTCCGAAAGCTCGGAAGACAAAACGTCTGGTCCCGGTGACCGACTCAGATTGTATCCTGCTACCTTATCCTGGGACACGTACATTTGGCCTTCTTCTCTGTGCTGCACTTCAGAAAGAGAACTGGAGCTGGAAGCAGCAGCATCAGACAGTCTGCTCCCCTTGACTCAGTGAGGGAAAGTTAGTGCAGCGGTTCCTTTAAGAATCTTTGGCCTGCCAGTTAGAGCATCAGGGGGCCTCAAGATGGAAGGCTGAGGGAGGACAGAAGCGGGTGGGGAGGGGGCTGTGCACTGAACCTAACTTCCTTTTGGACCAAGCATTATAGTTTTTTGTGAGGAAACTGCCACTCTTGATGACTGGCTACGTTTGGGGTCTTTGTAGGAGTGGCATTGCTTCCTCGGCCTCAAATTTGCAGTGTGGCCAACCCTGTGGCCCCATATCCGGAGTTTCCTAAATTGGCACCAAGAGGCATTTTACCTGCAAGGCAGCCCAGAACCAACGAATGTTTTTGAGGGTCGTGATTTTGAGGTTTGTTTTCATTGCAGAGCCAAATACTGGATTTGAAACGAACACCCACGCCAAACAACTTGGAATGGCATAGCTAGGTTATGTCCGGTGCCCTTCTTGCGGCTTTGAAAAACAGCCATTGGAGACATGGTAAAAGGATTAAAAAAACAAAAACAAAAAACAGAACAGAACAGCAAATGTGGGCTGATCTTGGTTTTTTTTTTTTTTTTTTTAAATGTAATATTAAGGTTTTTGTTTGTAAATTGTTTTTTTTTCCTTATCTATGTACAAATTCTTGGCCATTCTTTGTTTTTACATGTTCATGCTGTGCAATTTTGAATTGTTAACTGAAATACTGAACATAATGTGCATTTTTCTGTACAGATGAAATGGGAGAATTTAATAAAAAAGTCTGCAGGTTTTATGCTTTTTGCTGTGTTTTTCTCAACTGCCTTTCATAATCACACCCGAGTTCTGCTACTTTTCAAGGTCATTTAATGGTGACTACCGGTTGTCTCCAGATGTTGCCCTTAGCGCTTTTGAAATTTTGAAGAACTCCCTGATCCTCAGTTTACTGACAAACCAGGGGGATCAGTTTTGTAAATTCCTCAGATTATTCAATCTGGACTGATACTTGTTGCAGGGGAGGACAGAGTTCTTGGGGGTAGAGGCATTGGGTAGAGGAGTGCATCCATGCTCCCTCTTAGACCTATGCTGTCAGTCTCGAGGCTACGGTCTCTGCTCTACAAGGCAGGGAGAACGCAAGGTACTGGCCTTCTAATCGAACTGGATTTTAAAATGGAGCCAAGGATCGTTTCTATTTCGTGGTTTGAGTATTAGGGATCCAACTCAGGTGTTGCCGCCAGCTGCCCCTTTTCCCTTGCAGCCTCAGGGCAAGATCGATATTCAAGTAAACCATCAGGTTTATGCCAAAAGAGGAAAGGGGCAGTAACATTTTCTGCTGCTGCTTGGCAGCCCGCCAAAGAATAGAAAAGAAATAATAGAAAAGAACAGAAGGAATAGAGTAGCATTCTGGAAGTTGAAGTCCACAAGTCTTAAAAGTTGGTAAGTTTGAAGAACTCTGGAGTAGAACAATGAATAGAATGTAATAATAGAGTAGAAGAGTGAAGTATAATTCTAATTTTTTTTCTTCCTCTTCTTTTTTGTAAGCCGCCCGGAGTCCTACGGGATTGGGCGGCATATAAATTTTAATAAATAAATAAATATAGAATAGAATATAGAATGAGACTGAATAGTATATATAATAGAATGAGAATAAATAGAATAGAAAGAATGAATAGAATAGAATAGAGCTGGAAGGGACCTTAGAGGTCTTCTAGTCCAGTGTTTTTCAACCTTTTTTGTGCAAAGGCACACTTTTCATGAAAAAAATCACGAGGCACACCACCATTAGAAAATGTTAAAAAAAATTAACTCTGTGCCTATATTGACTATATAAGGTGTTTTTCCCACGGCACACCTTACACTATGTCACGGCACACTAGTGTGCCNCTATCTATCTATCTATCTATCTATCTATCTATCTATCTATCTATCTATCTATTAGAATGCAGTATTGCAAGCTAACTTTGCCCACAGCCACCAGTTCAAATCCCACCATTCTCAAGGTTGACATAGCCTTCCATCCTTCCGAGATGGGTCAAATGAGGACCCAGACTGTTGGGGGCAATATGCTGACTCTGTAAACAGAGAGGGCTGTAAAAGCATGTGAAGCAGTATATAAGTCTAAGTGCTACTGCTATTTTTTCTAGTCCTTAACTTCCAGAGCCGACTCATAAGGCCCCTCGCTGTCGGAGTCTGTTTGCAGCTCCAACGGCTCCTGCTGGGCCACAACAGGTTGTGACTTATGAGTTACTTTTCTGAGTTCTTCTTATAGGTTTCCTCACATTTCTCATTGTCGGATTTGGAATCTGTGACTTGGAATGATGAGTTTTCTGGATATCTTCAGAGATTCAAAAGCTACTGGTTGTGGGGGGGGGGGCATTTTAATGCAATTTGTGCTGCAAACAGAGGGACTTGATGGCCTCCACAGCCCCTTCCAGCTCTGTGTGTTTTTGATAACAGGTACCTGGCCGAATGGATGGTGAATGGCTACCCCTCCGATAACATCTGGCCCTTGGACCTGAAGCGCTTTGGAGCTCTGCAGAGCAGCCGAACCTTCCTCCGTCATCGGGTCATGGAAGTGATGCGTAAGTAGTTGCCTCTCGTGTTCCCTGGGCTCGCCACGTAGCTCATGGAGGTGGGCGAGGGGTTGCGCCTGTTTCCTGGCTTGGCAGCTGGTGGTTCATTCGTTAGAGGCTCTCTCAGAACTGCTTTGGAAGCTGTTTCTCAATGGGTGGAAATACCGTATTTTTCGGACTATAAGACTCACCATGATTTTGAAGAAGTAAATTTTTAAAAAACGTTTTTGCACTCTGCAGGCCTCCCAAACCCTCTGCACGCCTCATCCCCCCCCACCAAAAAAAAGGACATGCAGAGCTTTGGGAGGCTTGTAGAGTTCTCCTGGAGGCTGGGGGTGGGGGTGGGGCAAAAATGAGGGAAAAACGGGCCGTTTTTTTGCAGAAAAAAAGGGGGGGCATGCAGAGCTTTGGGAGGCTCTAAAACGGCTCATTTTTGCCCTCCCCAAACCTCAGGAGCACTCTGCAGGCCTCCCAAACCCTCTGCAAGTCCATTTTTGCAAAGGGGGCGGGGTTTCGGTAGGCCAAAAATGTTGTATTCAGTGGATAAGACGCACCTAGATTTTCACCCTCTTTTTTTGAGAGAAAAAGGTGGGTTTTATACTCTGAAAAGTATGGTAATTAATTATTATTTTCCTTGGCTGCACAGTCAGCCAAATGCTTAAATTGGGTTTGGCATTTTCGTCCGTCCATCCTTCCCAAGGCTCTGGGATAGGAAAATGATGTTGCTTGATGTAAGGATGTAAGCTGTTCTGAATAAAACTGCCTTTTGCAATTGACTGGTGGTGATTTTGTCAATGCCAATGGTTTTCAAGTGGTGCTCCAGATGTTTTGGGATTGCACCCAAGGTGCCTATTGCTATTGGTGTTATGTTTGCTTATCATTATTAATGTATTGCCAAGAAAGAGCAAACAAAACTCTTCTTGGCCTTTTGCGTAGAATTAAGTGGTTTAGAACCTCTTGGGGAAATCACATTCTCCTCCTGTTTTTAGGAAGGTTCATATTAACCATAGTTGGCTTTCAGTTGTTCAGACCAGCTTAACATCCTGGCTCCAATTTCCCCTTTGAAGGTAGACATAGTCAGTGGAAACCTTATTATAAAAGTAATGCTACACCATAGGTCACAATGAGGGGAAGGAAGAAAGGTTACTGTAATGGCTCTTCTCCTAACTTGAGAAAGTAAAGACTCTTGAAATGGATTATTTCAAAAGGAACCTTTAATCAAGCAGGATGGAANTTTCAGATTCGGGTTTTCCCAGATGTGCCAACATGGCTCTCTTAATGAATTGGAACTTTGAGCAATACTTTGCCTCAGACTCTGATTTACTTTTGGGTGCTATTTGGAACCCTGACATCAGGTTCGTCGCAGCTTTCCCTTGCAATGGATCACCAGAGATCACCCAACTTCCTGTCTTCTGTTGTCTTCCCAGGTGTTCAAATCCACGAACGAACCAGCGTCATCCATGTCCTGGACCAGAAGGGCTGCGTAACTGGAGTGGAGACAGACAGAGGGATGATTGAGTGCCCATACTTCGTTAACTGTGCTGGGCAGGTGAGGCCCTGATTGGACTGTGGAGCTGAAGGGCTTGTGGTCCTGACCACGACTGGGTCTCCTCTTTGTGGGGTTCTGGGACTGCCTATCAAAATAGACATCAAACAGGTTTTATGTGGCTGGGCCTTTTGTGCAACAAACGAGAAGCACTTATTCAGATTGGCAAACTGCTCATGGCACTGGATGGGGAATAGAACAGAATGAGCTGGAAGGGACCTTGGAGGTCTTCTAGTCTAGCCCCCAGCTCTCTGAATTACAGTTTAAATTACAGAAATTAATCCTATAGATAATTTTTTGAACAGAATGCGATCTTCAGAAAGGCATTTGATAGAGTAGAATGGAATTTTATATGCTACCATACCTGGGCAAGAGTAAGTGAAGGAAAAGGGGGTTTGTTAATTACATTTTAAAGTAGATTATGGAACTAAGTCTGAATGAGCTGGAAGGGACCTTGGCGGTCTTCTAGCCTAGCCCCCTGCTCAAGCGGGAGAACCTATACCATCTCAGATAAGTGACTGTCTAGTGACTCTAGTCTCTTCTTAAAAACCTCCAGAGATGGAGCTTCCACGATTTCTGGTGGCCAGCTGTTCTACTGGTTGATTGTCTTCCCTGTTAGGAAGTTTCTCCTTAATTCCAGGTTGCTTCTCTCTTTGGTTAGACTCAGTGGCAGTTGTGCTAAATGGGGTGGCTGGTGGGATCAAGGGCAGTGGGCGAATGGATGGCTGCTTGTTGCAGGCATATGGTTGCTGGGAGACCAGAAGGAGCTCACGGGAAGGTTGTCTATCTGCTTTTCTCACCGTTATCTTTGGGTTCTGTGATCAGAACTAATTGTGCAGAGCATGGAATTGTGCTCAGCGAGTGTTAAACCATATTAACTAATATTTGCTAACTGTTTGTGTGCTGCGCCAGTTGAAAAGCAGGCTATAAAACGAAATAATAAATAACTTGTTCCTTATGCATTTTGTCTCTTGTGACGAAGTCCTTACTACTTCTTCCCAGGCAGCTGTTCACATCCATCCTGCAATCTTTCTTCCTTGTACTACATGTTAGATATATTATCCCTGCTGTTTCTTTGGCAACAATAAGAATCACATTAACTAAATTCGCATCTATTAGAGCAAATCCCAGAATTGACCAAAAGGAGTTTATAGGTGGTATTAAAGCTGCTTCTTAAAATAGCAGTAATTCTAGATTGAGCTGGAAATATAATAATCATCATATTCCATATAACTGTTTCTGAAGTTGATATCTACTTGTTCTGTTTGGTTTTTTTGTTTTTTTTGAAAAAAAATGATAAAGCAACAATTAAAATTGATAAGTCATTCTAGCACAATCGTACTGTTAATTTTCCTGGCCCTTCCGATGCAGCATAAAAAATTAATTCAGTTAATTTTGTTATTATCTGCTAGGTTCATTGTAGCAAAACTGAATGAATAACATCTAAAAATTTGGTAAATATCACCGTCTGAAAAATTAACACAACATTAAAAGTGTACTGAAGCACTTTATTTAAAGATTATTTTATTCTCATTTAGTTTCTATGGTTTCAGTTTAATGAAAGAAATTCTTAATGCATTAAATGCAAGTGTCCTTTTGGAACAAAATATTGAAAATTAACAGTCGTTTCAGTCCTCGATGTTACAAACCAACTTATATACACAATTTTCTGGGTTTTTATTTGTTCCTATGAAATGTGGGGCTTTGGGTTTCCTATTATGGTATTTTTGTATTCCTCCATTTAAAAAAATAGGTTGAAATGTTTCTTTGAAACGATGCAGCACAATTTCAAGAATGAGCCCCACGGACATCAAATCTGCCCTTGGCTTTTTTAAATGCCCTTCTTTGCTTTCAGTGGGCTTACGAGCTCGGCCTTTCCAACGAACAGCCAGTCAGCATCCCGCTGCATGCCTGCGAACACTTCTACCTGCTGACGCGCCCCCTGAAGACCCCGCTGGAGAGTAGCACGCCAAGTGAGGAACCTTCTCTTGTGCTGTCTTGCAGGTGCTTGGGCTTTGGCACAATGGCAAGCCAAGCGTGTTCAGTGTAGAGGTGCTTGGCATCCACAAAGGTTGGAGGCCCCAGGGACTCCAGGTGTTTAAGGGCTATCAACTCCAGGGACAGGGGGCTTCAGTGCAGGCTGATGTCTGCCACTTGGACACTTGGAGCTCCAGAGATTTCTTGTCTGTGAGTCAAAGAAAGGGGTATCCAACCTTGGCAACTTTTAGTGGACTTCAACTCCCAGAATTCTGGGAATTAAAATCCACAAGTCTTAAAAGTTGCCCAGGTTGGACGTCTCTTCTGACCCAGTTCCCCAAACAAACCCTTTATGATTCCTTTTATGGTGGTATAGCCTTTATTGTCATCGTACAAAAATAAATACAACGAAAATGGTTTTAGCTCCCTGGTGCAATTTATGACAGCAAATACAAACAACATAAATAGTATAAAGAATATTCCCAATGCAAGGGGGGGAAAAGAAAAGAAAAACTAGTCCTACGTTTCCACGTGTGCGTGGTGTGATTGTGGTTGTGTTTAAGAGTCTGACAGCCCAAGAATAGACTTCATTAGGAGTCGACAAAATATTTCTCTCTCACCGCAGACTAACAGGTCTGTCCGGCAGGGAGATGAATAGTTGTCTTTCACATCTATTCATCTCCGCCCCCTGCCTTTGATCCCCAGAGCTAGGGTGGGGCTTCACTAGCAGCGGTGGCTCTTCCGTCCTCAGGGCCGGTCCATAGATTTTCACTCCTCTCCTCTGCTTTCTGCACATCCGTGTGTCAGGCACTGGGGCCAGCTGTTCCTCCTCTTCCTCATCAACCACCTCCAGACCTGGGGGCTGTTGACTCTCCATCTGAGGGCTGAGGGATGTCCCAGGCTCCGCCTCTCCCTCCCTCCCTCCCTCCCTCCCTTCCTCTCTCTCTCTCTCTCTCTCTCTCTCTCTCTGCCAGCTCCATTCCCTCCCCCCTCCGAGCTCTCAGGTTGCCTTGATGCTGACCCTGACTCCCACGCCTCTTCCTCTGATTCAGCTTTCTTGGAGCCTGGGGAGGGGGAAAGCGCCCCCCAGAGAACCCCTGGAGGCGGGAAATGGCCTGTTTTCTGACTTCCAATGGGCCAGGTAGGTCTGTTTTTCACCCTCCCAGGCTCCAGAGGCTTTCTAGGAGCCTGGGGAGGGCGAAAAACAGCCCAACATGCAAACCGGAAGTTCGGGAACGGACTTCTGGGTTGCCCATTGGGATGTTTTTCTCCCTCCGGAGGCTTCAGGAGGCTTCTCTAAGCGGTTTACAGAGTCAGCCTATTTGCCCCCAACAATCTGACTCCTCATTTTACCCACCTCGGAAGGAGGGAAGGCTGAGTCAACCTTGAGCCAGTCAGGATCGAACTCCTGGCAGTAGGCAGAGTTATCCTGCAATACTGTATTCTAAGCAATGCACCACCAAGTGGGACTTCTAGTTGCACGAGAAGGCAGCCTGGCCCTGGGTGCAAGAATGCTGTGTGCAGTGGAGCCTTTAGTAAGCAAGGAGAGTGTCCCCCCCCCATCCTCTGTGTTTTGGGTTGGTTGCCCCAACCCCACCCGGCATCCTGTTTTTCTCCCTGGGTTCAAGCCTTTGCTTCTCTCCTCCGCAGCTATTGTGGACCTTGATGGGAGGATCTACATCCGCAGCTGGCAGGGGGGCATCCTCTCGGGAGGCTTTGAAAAGAACCCCAAGCCTATTTTCACAGAGGGGAAGAATCAGCTGGAGGTCCACCGCTTGCAGGAAGACTGGGATCACTTTGGTAAGGCGGCCGGGCCGTTGATTGTTGTAAAGCAGAGGTGGGGAACGATGGCCCCTTTATGACTTGTGGACTTCAACTCCCATCATTCCCGAGCCAGCTGGGAGTTGAAGTCCACAAGTCACAAACGGGCCATCGTTCCCCACCCCTGGTGTAAAAGAATGCCCGTTCTACTTGATTATTTTTCTTTATTTACTCCAGTTTGATGCTGCCCATCAAAACTGAGGCTCAGAAAAATACAGAATTTTCTGCCTGCCTCAGCAAAGCAGTTGGGGGATGAAGGGGCTCCCAGTGCTGCATTGCAGTGTCCTTTATTTTGGGGGGAACTTTGCACATATATCCTGGTTGCTCTTTCCCACTTCCCCTCTTTTTCATCTTTACTGCTGGGTAAGTACAGGTAGTCCTCGACTTACGACCAAAACCGAGCCCAGAATGTATGTTGCTAAGTGAAACATTTGTTGTGAGTTTTGCCCCATTTTATGACTTTCCTTGCCACCGTTGTTAAGTGAATCACTGCAGTTGTTAGATTAGATTAACGTGGTTGTTAAGTGAATCTGCCTTTCCCCATTGACTNTAACAACTTTGGTAAGGAAGATCGTAAAATAGGACAAAATACACTTAACAAATGTCTCACTTAGCAACGGAAATTTTGGGCTTAGTTGTGGTCGTAAACCAGGGACTACCTGAAAAAAATGGACCAAATGTCATATAGGGTGATCACATTAATGGAAAATCTCACAAAGAGATTCATGGGTGAATAAATGAATTTGCATCTGGTTTCTTGGATTCAAATCCACCATCCAAATCTTTATATAGAATAATTAAAGTCAAGAAAGATTAAATAAAGACTAAAAAGTAAGAAGATGGAGGACACAGGGTGGGTGTCTGGGAACTTATCTCCAGCTGGCAGAGCAGGTTTTGAAGGTCTTCCAGCAGGCCAGGAGTGTGGAGGAGACCCCACCTCACCTCCCGTAGGAGAAGAGCCCAGAGGGATCCCAGTAGGTCTTTTCACTGGAGTGAGTGGGATGAGCTCGGGCTGAGATGATGACTCAGGAGATCCAGGTCTATTTGACCAGGCATAAAAAGAAGGGGAAAAGATGACCGGATGCTGAAGAGAATTGTAATGGCACCGTGAGAAAGAAAAATATGTTCTGGGTTTGGGGGAAAAAATTGGAAGAAAAAAGTTTCAGATATGAAAACTGGCTGGGTGACCTTGGGACAGTCGCTCTCAGCCCAACTCACTTCATTGTGTCCTTGTGGGGAAATTGGAGGCAAGTGGATTAGCAATGTTTTCCACCATATATATGTATATATTTTAAAAAGCAGGATAAAACAACAAACACAATAAAAAGATACCCAGGGGCTTAACTATAGCAGTTATTTATATCCTGGTTATTTCAAGCAATAGAAATAATTATATTTCTTTTGTTCAATTGTATCTGGGTATTAGAGACTCCCTGGATAAGTCCCTGCAGAAGTGGTTTGTCATTGCCTCCTTCCTAGGGCTGAGAGAGAGGGACTGGCCCAGGATCCTCCAGCTTGCCTTGTACCCTAGGACTCATGGTCTCCCAGTTTCTAGCCTGATGCCTTAACCACTATGCTGAATTTGCTGCCCAGTTATAAATTGCCATGCAATAAATAAAATAGGAGGAGGTTGCATGCATTCAAATGAGATGATTTCAGGTTGCAACCAGGGTTGTTTTTAAGGCTTAAGAAAGAAATCGGAAGGAAATAATGGTTGAGCTCCCATTCTTAAAAAATACAAAACTTTTTTTAAAATAGGGATTTGTCTTCTTTTCCGTTTATTGTCACGTTGTGAGTCTTTTCTTGTGATCACTTTTGTACTTAAGGTCAAGGTGTGACTGAGTCAGTGCTGCCCTGTAGCAGTAATTGTGCTTTTGGCATTCAGTGGGTAAATTGTTTTACCTGTGGAATTGTGCCAAAGCAGAGCGAGATAAGACAAGTGGTGCCTCTTCTCTGGCATATTGGCTGAATTCACACTAAAGGTAAAGGTTTCCCTTGCACACATGTGCTAGTCGTTCCGGACTCTAGGGGGCGGTGCTCATCTCCGTTTCAAAGCCAAAGAGCCAGCACTGTCCGAAGACATCTCTGTGGTCATGTGGCCAGCATGACTCAATGCCAAAGGTGCACGGAACAATGTTACCTTCCCACCAAAGTGGTTCCTATTATTCTACTTGCATTATTTACATGCTTTCGAACTGCTAGGTTGGCAGCAGCTGGGACAAGTAATGGGAGCTCACTCCGTTACTAGGGATTTGAACCACCGAACTGCTGACGTTTCTGATCGACAAACTTGGCGTCTTAGCCACTATGCCATTGGGTCCCTGGATTCACTAGATCAAACTAAAAATGGGTTTTGATGGATTGTGGGTTAAATTCACCTGGGTCTGTTTGCATCACATTAAGGTGTATAATACATACTTGCGCATGGCATGTTGTATGATTGCTTAACTGGACTTGAGATCAAGTCTATTCTCTAAATGTATATGAGGTTGAAAGAGAAGAGGTGCAGCCATTGAATTTGACCAAACTTGCGTATCCTTTCAATTTAGCGGCCGCTGTATATGCGGGGCCGCCATCGCTCCACCAATATCCCCAGTGGAAGTAGCGAGTGGGGATTATTGTACTTGCAGAATGCATTTTGGTTGTGCTCATATTCTTTATTTTGGTGGAATTATATGGCTTGCCCCAACATTTTCTGTTGATTTTTTGAAAGTGTGCAATGTTTTTGTTTCAGTTTGTGAATTCCAAATACTAAAGTGATAAAAATGGCTTCTGATGAATGATCACTGCAATCCTTTTCCAAAAAGGGCCAGGTTCTGTACTCAAACTTTTACAGGTTCCCACCCATCCAAAAACTTTAAGAACCTTGATCTCTTCACATCTCAGATGGTGATGCTTGTTAGGAATATAATTCTAATGATTGGTTGGCAATATATAAATCATGTAACAATGTTGTACCTTTTTCTTTAAATCATACTGTAAAATGTGATTGGTTGATGTTTTTCCTCAATCAATAAGAGGGAGCCAGAATGACTGTTAGCTCTCTGTTTGTTAGATGCTGGGCTAATCTGATCTGATTTGGAAGCTGGCTGTTAGAAAGTGCCGTAAGCTATTGTAAATTTTGCAACTGCTAGCAAACTTTGAGAATGTTAGGAATATAATCTAACGGTTGGGTTGGCAATATATAACAGAGCAATATATAGCTCTCTGTTCATTAGATGCTGGGCTGATCTGATCTGATCTGAGTGCCGTGAGTTATTGTAAGTTTTGCAACTGCTAGCAAACTTTGAGAATGTTAGGAATATAATCTAACGGTTGGGTTGGCAATATATAACAGAGCAATATATAGCTCTCTGTTCATTAGATGCTGGGCTGATCTGATCTGATCTGAGTGCCGTGAGTTATTGTAAGTTTTGCAACTGCTAGCAAACTTTGAATACTGAACTGATTATATAATAACTGGACTATGTTATTTGG